TATGAAATCTATTGTCTTGCAGCTCAGAAGTAAAATTACTATTGATAGGGAAACCAATTCTATCCATCTATCATTCAACCTGCCATCTCTATGCATAGAAGACTACCGTGGAAGAATGTTAAAGGACTTAACACTAAAGTTAAACAAAATAATCAAATTAACTCAAATGAATTTTATAAATTAGAGGGGGCACTTCAGATGTCATCTTTTGCTATCTATTTGCTATCTACTGCAAAGTAGAAAACTTTGCTTTGGGAAATTGAAAATATTTAAATCAGCCCCAAGATTATCAATGGGTAAGGAGATAATGGATTCAATTTATTAATTTTCTGATTTGAGAATATATCAATTTAGACATTTAAGGATATGATTGCAAACCACTAAGAGAAAAGTGTGGTTTCCAGTCACAGGTGTTTTATTGGTTGAGTGATTGTTAATGGGATAAATTTTTTAAAAAAGAATAAAATTTATTATAAATACAATTATTTGTGTATCTCTTCCTAAATTTAACAGATAAACCAAAATCTATGTAGTATTTGCCATACCATATCAGCTTAAGATACTGAAGGGTAATTATCATTTCATGCTGTTTAGCTACTTCAGGCGTCCAACATAAGGAACTAAGTAGATCAATCCATTTGTTCAATTTCTATTAGGTAATGTATATTAAAATATTTCTGAGGGGTTGGATATTCTAAACTGATCAACTCTAAACTGAGTTCAATTGGTTGAACTCTCTCCTGCTTGGAAAAATATTTGCACATAAAATGGTGTCTTTAGTAAGCTTTCAAGACTCTATTATGATACCTTAAATAATAAAGTAGTGTTCCTGTAATTCTTGTGGCACTTGTTTCCTGAACTGGCTACCTTCAGACATTAATCTTGAAGGCCTCCAACAACTTCACTCTGCCCCTTCTTATTCTGTAGAAAATCAAGATGGAATAATTTGGAATTTCTCGTGTTTTCTACTTTCTCAGGACACTTAGTTGTTTCCCACCCTTAACAAATAACCCATTCCTTCATCAAGAGTCTATCTCTAATCCTTCATACTTATGACAACTCTTTGAATATTCAGAATGCAAAACTAGACACGTAGATCCTATATACATGTAGGAACATCTCTAGTGGCAGCACTAAGTCTTTTGCAAAGTGAAACAAGAGGGGACATTAAAAGAATAACAGGCTATTTCTAGAACCAGATTAAGGCCCCTTGACAGAATGATTAGTTGCTGGGGTAGGTTCCAATTATGCAGGCAAGGCTGCTAAAGAGGAGTGATTGGTTCTGAGGATGTGACTCCATTTGCTGGGCCAGGAGAAGTCGCCCTGCTGTGGATGTGGATTTTTTTTTGCCAGTCAAAGTCACACAGATGCCTCCTCTTCCTCTGCCTCAGCACTGACTGGTTTACATCGATCCCGGGTCATGCTCTGGCAAACACAATGACTTTCATCTGAGATGCATCCAATTTGGTCACAGCTGGGGAAATATTAGCTTGTTCCTATTTATTGACTAGCTGTCTGGATTTATACAGACATCTGGGTTGAATTAAGCAAGCAACTGAAGTGTAAACTCTTCTCTGGCCCCTCCTGTGTAAGCTTTTCATGTCTGACCTGATAGTTTGATTCCCATCTCCCTGCCCAGATTTGGGCCATCCTGTCATTTCCTTTCTCACCGACTCAGTCAAGCTATTTTCATAATATAGGACAAGCAGGATCCTTGACTGATATGGAAAACAACAAACATTTGAAGCTTGCATTTACTAGACTCCGCAGACATTTTGCTCTTTGACACTGTTAGGCATTAGAAAATTCAGATAATGAAATTAAAAAAAAAATCCAGTGAGTTCTGAACACTGCAAGAAGAAACAGTGAGCAAATTACTTGATATATACAGTACAGTATTTAAGGGATCTAACCTACCCCACCTAACATTATTTTTTATTTTAAAAAAAATCCATCCCCCCCCTCCAACTGTTTATTCAGCGCTATACAGGATGGCCATATTAGACTATCCTTTTAAGAATGTCTCTTCAGATAAAGCTTAATTTATTGATTAAATTGCACTTTATTGATTGTCACTGGAAGAAGAGCCATCTAGAATATTTTACTATTAATTGAACATATGCATACAGAATACACATTACAAAAATAAGGATAGGTTTATATGATCATTTACTGTGCAGCTGAATTCCCTCTCTGAACAAAATTCAAACAGCAATCTGTGTGCATGAAACATGAAATAATGTACAACAAATTCCAACTAGAAAAACCAACATAATTACACACACACACACACACACACACACACACACAGAGTAAGACTTTTCTTATACAGATGGTGTTTTCTGGATAAAAATGTCATAACTGAAATAGCTCTGATACATAAGAGCTGAAATGGTTCAAGAGATTACATTTTTACGGAATGGGACAACTTGCCGTGACCAACACACCATGGCCAACTCGCTGTGGGATAATTCAACAAATACAAAAATTAAAATTACTTTCAATGGAACTGTGGCCAATAATAATAAAAGTCAATCCAGAAATACAAGAGTTACAATAATTTTGATGAAAACATGGGCACCAATAATAAAAGTACCTGAATGAAATGATCAATGGAGTATTGAATTGTCCCATGGTGAATTATTCCGTGGCGAGTTGGCTGTGGTGTGTTATCCTAGATCCACATTTTAATACTATTTTTTTTAGAAGCTTAACATAGTCCATATGGGGGTCTTTCCTTATACTGTCCTCATAACAAAAACCATGGTATGTATGTATGCATGTATTTAATAGATTTTTATAGCCGCTCAACTTGCAAATTGCAACTTTGACTAGCTAGTGCAGGGTTAAAACCAAACTATAAAGCGACAAGATACAAACAACAGAAGGAAAAGAAACTGAGGCCAACCCTCAACCATTCAATTTCCTACTGTATCAGACAGGCTCATCCAGCACCCTGGTGCAATACCTGGGGGAAAGACCTTATGGAAGGCCAGCAGAGCCAGGATCACTGAATCTTGGGGCAGGGATATATAGCTCCAAAGGGCAGGCACCATGACAGAGAAGGCACAACTTGTGAGTCCCATAAATCAGAGGTCCCCAACCTTTTGGGCACCAGGGACTGGTTCTGTGGAGAGAGGTTTTTCTGTGGACCGGAGAGTGCGTGGTTTTGTGTGCTGCCTGCATCCCGCGGATGGGGCTTTGCTTGTTTGTGTAGACCAGTTGCTGGCATGCCACAGCCCGGTAATGGTCCACGGACCGGGGGTTAGGGACCCCAGCCATAAATGACTCTGTTTTATAGAAGGGACTTGGAGCATATCCAACCTGTTGGATCTTATGAGTCGGACAGAATTAATAGGTGGTCCTGCAAGTAATCCAAGCTTGTGCCATTAATATCTCTCTCTCTCTCTCTGTCTCTCTCTCTCTCTCTCTCTCTCTCCCTCCCTCCCTCCCTCCCTCCCTCTCTCTCTCTCTCTCTCTCTCTACCTACCTACCTACCTACCTACCTACCTACCTACCTACCTACCTATATCTCATCTATCTATCTCTATATCCAGTTCATAACTCAATGAATTCCTTGGTCAACTGGCAATTTGAATATGGGTTCTTCTCTCCCCATTCAATGCTGATAAAAGATGTATCATGCTAGCTCAGTTCAGTTATGGCTGGTTCATATTCCTTTCACGTAACATTTCCGCATGAGCAGATATAATCAGCTGGATCTTCCCCACACTGTTGATCACCAAACTGGGAGGTCTGTTTTCTTGAAAAGACAATAAATAGAGAGTGAAAAGTTAGGATACTCCTCCATGCATAGACTTGTCAATTTTTATTCTTTTATCTCTTCTTTTGTTCTAATTCTGCACATAATGTGGACAAATAAATCTGGTTCTAAGTTATTAGCCAAGCACTCAGTCAATAGATTACAGTACACGGAAGTCTATATTTGCTGCACAGACCAATAATTTGAAACAGTGAATTTGAAACAGTGCAGGAAGCTCTAAATCTCTGCTGGGGTGCTGAATTGCAACTTTCAGAGTGCAAGCCAGTTTTTTCTTGCTTGCTGCTAGGAAGCATATTTAAGCATATGATAGTAAGCATATATACTTACATACCTGGCAGGGGAGGTACCGTAATCAGTCCACACTCTTTCCCCCTATTGTGATACTGTCCAGCTGCGATACCGTGGAAATACACGCATATCACTGTTTAGTCCATCAGTATGTCAGATTTATCTAGAGTGCTATGTGTTGTTACTTGAAAATTAGGCTGCTCACTGAAGACCATGATATGGTGACACACGCTTCATTTGGTAGAACAAATGTAGAACAAAAAGCAGAATGTCCCATAGTTGAGCAAACAGAGAAAAACTGAAGTAAGGAGAAATTTTCTGATGGTGAGAACAATTAATCAATGGAATAGCTTGCCTCCCGAAGTTGTAAATGTTCCATCACTGGAACAGATTGGACAACCATTTGACTGGGATGGTGCAAGGGGCAGAGGGTTGGACTAGAAGACCTCTGAGATCTCTTATAGCTTATAATTCTATGTTCTGTGAAGCCCCGTTGCCAACCTTCAGTCACTGATAACAATGGACCCATCTACCCCCCTATGAAATATGTAAAGATCAAAGCTTGGGAGAGAATTCATTCCTTTGTAACATTCATTCTATCTTCAGTAATTTTGGACCATAGTGTTGGGAAAAAAGAAGTTTTCTAACTTTTTAAAACTGAGATACCAGAAAAGCAAAAGTGAAAAGATGGATGCTCTTTATTCAACTGCTTAGCTTCCAGTATGCTGAGGGATCAAGGTAGCTTTACTCCCTCAGGGAGACTTTGCCAACTGCCTGGGAGTCCCACAATGCCCCAAAGGCATCCATTCACAATCTTAACCAGTTTCCTTGGTAACAGCTGTTACTAGTTTTCCACCAATCAATGGCAAGCGGGACCGGGGGGGGGGGGGTCAGTGTCCTACATAAAGAGTCAGACAGATTAGCCCGTTCAGTTGAGGGCTTATTCCTTCTCTGGACGTTCTCCAGGAAAAAGCTATGGCTAAAGGACTAGGGACCCAGCAGGCTGCATCCCAGCGATGGGCCTGCTTCTTGGCTGCCCTGTCACTCCTGTGTCTGGCTGTCCAAGCAGGTAAGAGGGCAGGCTTCTGGGAAGGGACTCTCCGGGTGAACTTGCTGGGCTTGGGGGTCACATTGTGAATAGTATGAGGGTGGAAACCCAAAAACAGCTAGAATGGGGAATGGCAGAACATCTGAATCAGCAAAGGCTTTTTTAAGGGACGCTCTCCAAAAGTGCGTTAGCCACGTGCAATGCATTTATAATAGATTTTTTTAAAAATTAAATACGGTAGCCTTAGTTTGTCGCATGGCTTTAGCATGAGGAAACAAGAGGGAATGAGTTGGCCTCTTCTGTTCCACAGCAAAGCATTCCCCATTGCTGACTCCAAGGTTAGAAAAGCGCCTGGCTCATATTTACCAACCCAAGAAGTTGTGGTCTTGCTCCCTAACTAGTAAAGCTCCTTGAGAGAGCAATAGTCTCAAGTCAAACCAATGTGTGTGTGGCTTGAACAGAGGGTTCAGACCATGGTGGGATTCAGCCGGTTCACACCACTTCAGTAGAACCGGTAGCTGATTTTTTTTGTTGCCCAGGCCCAGAATGGACTTCCGGAAGTGGCATCCACAAAGAGAGCTAGTTGTTTACATATTTGAATCCCACCACTGGTTCAGATCTAACCTGAAGAGAGTGAGGATTCTCACAGCTTTGAAACTCTGGCCCTTTCAGCTTTCACCTAGCAACTCACTGGGTCCTGAATTCTGATTTAACAGGACTGTACTGAAAATGCCTTGGTATCCCATTTGTCTTCACGACAGCTACTTGGGTTATGGCTGAAATAGAAAAGGAGTTTCAACAATAACAAACAACACAGATAACCTCCGGTATCTTTTCATTGCTGGATTTCATGTTGATTGGAAAGGCTGCATCTTTTATTTCCAATCTCCAATTCAGTTTGATCAGAGCTGCTTTTGTTTCTAGGGGAAGCTAATCCTTTGGCTGAGCTAAAGATTTCTTTTAAAAATACAGTCTAGACCAGACTCACTTGGCACTGAAGGGTGCAAGAAAGTCAAAAGGAAAAATCTGGGTTGAATCAGTTTATAGCCCAACTGGATGGGAGTTTGAATGGGATAAAAAAATCACAACTATATTTTGACTGTATTTACTGTGCTTCCACCTAAGCAAAAAGAGCAGTGATATTGGGAATCAGATGGTGTTGTATTTTAACTCATTTTTTTTGACGTTCTAAATGTTAGCTATTAGCACTTTGTGGCAAGCAAAAGGCATGAACTTTCTCCGATTGTGAACAAAGAGGTGGGGTGGGGAGTTAGAAGTCAGGATTAAAATGAGAAAAATGCCTCATTAATATGCTCTGCCTTACGGCGAAACAAGCATATCAATTTCCCACAGCCGAATGCAGGAAGCATCTCACATAAATATCAAACAAATCTGGAACACGGATATGTGGAACCACACAAAAAGACCTGCAGAGAGATGGACAATATGAGGCTGAAAGAGGACATTGTGTGGTTGTTTCTCTTCTCCTCTCTGCAGGGAAGAGAGTCACCAGTGCTTTTTGTTTTTGAAGTGACTTCAATAAAAGTGATGTTTTCCTAGAAATAACCACATTGGGTGCATTTCTTCTTAAGGAGAGAGACTTTTCCCACCGCACTGTGCCTCTTTGTCCTTGAGAGAGAGAGAAAAAGCGGGTTTTGTTTACTTGTCTTTGAATGTTACCCTTTTATCTCTTGCCCAAGTTGGACTGGACACAAAAACCAACCCAAGAGAAGGGGAATGTGAACAGGCTCAGCTTTCTTTTCCCCAAGGATGGCCCTGAAACACATCTTGGCTCGGTGCAAGCATTTAATTCACTGGACGGCAGTGATTTCATTGAGTTAATGATGACTAGGGAGCCGGAAGCTCAGATCCAACTCCTGAGAGTCATAACGTGAATGCTCTGACACCCTCAAGGAATAGCAGGGGTAACTGCTCGCCTCCTGAGCTGGAGACCATCTGGGGCTACAGAGTGTAATTATAAAAGGCCATCCCAAATTGCAATAAGCTAGACATGGTGAGGCACAGTAAGCCCTTGAATGTGCTGGTTGTCTGGGTTTACTTAAACAGATCTAGAAATGATTACTGCAGCTTCTCAAAGGCCAGGGATATAATAAGCTGCACAAATAAAAGGTAAATAAGAATTAAGGCTCATTTTCTAAAAGTCAATGAATTAAGTAGGTCCCTTGGATGGTTGGAGTCATCCTTGAGCATCTTTAAACACAGTGTTGTTGGGTGCACCAAATGAAGAGGATTTCAAAGAGTGAGCACCAGAAATCATTTCTATCATATAATGTAAATGGATAATGTGCTCTGAGATCGCCTTGCAAGTCCAGATATCATTTATTTATTTGTTTCCTGTCTGTATTATTCTTATGAATAACTCAAGGCGTCAAACACATCTAATCCTTCTTCTTTCTCCTATTTTTCTCATAACAACCCTATGGGTTGGGTTGGGTTGGGTTGAGAGAGAGGGACCTGCCCAAGATCACCTAGCTGGCTTTTATGACTAAGGCGGCACTTGAATGCGTGGTCTCTTGCTTTTTAGCCTGGTTCACATTTATTCTTTATATCTGTCTCGCTCCCTGCATCAGTGATTACTTATCAGAAACACACATACAGCATGCATGCATACACATTTACACTTTACATCAAATCAAGGATAGGTTGCTTTCTCTAAAGACTAATGACTATTTCCTTAGGAAAACCACAACCCTCAGGAGAATATGCATAATATCAATGTATCTCCTTTTAATAAACTCCAGTAAAAAAATGTTGACCGAATCTTTGGGTTCCTTGTGATTCAGAAATCACTGAATCCACTATCCAACACAACATCACTCCTTTCATATAAGCAAAGTGGTTATTAAAAGCTTTATGACAAGGCATTGCTTTGGCCCTTATCATTATTCTTCAAATAATTTTTTTCTCATAGCTTTGAGCTAAGAGATTCTGACATTGGGACGCCCTGAACAAGGAAAAAAAGTCTATCCCTGATTCTTTCTACATGCGGATTGTAGCTGTTTGATTTGTGTATGCTTTTGAATTAGTGTTTAATGCTGGCAATTACTTGGATTAATTTCTGCAGTTTTCTTGGCAAGGATTTTCAGAAATAGTTTGCCCTTGCCTGCTTTCTAGGGTTGAGAGTGACTGGCCCAAGGTCGCCCACCTGACCTTGTGCCTAAAATAGGACAGAACTCATGGTCTCCTGGTTTCTAGCTGGTGCCCTAACCACTAGACCAAGGGTAGGCAACCTTGGCTCTTTTCTGACTCGTGGACTTCAACTCCCAGAATTCCTGAGCCAGCCCAGGCTGGCTCAGGAATTCTGGGAGTTGAAGTCCACGAGTCAGAAAAGAGCCAAGGTTGTATAACCCTGCACTAGGCCAAACCGGCTCTTTAGCTGCTTGATAAATGACAATAATAAGGAGCAGCATATCCTATGAAGACACTGCAAGCAGAATCCATCTTCGAGGCCCTATTGTGCACTTACACCAACTCAAGAGGAGTCATCGTGGTTGCCCATCACCAGAAACCACTACCACACAGCCCAGAAACAGAGCAATATATCTAACTAACAGAATCATTTCAAAGTTTAGGTAAGGAAGCAGTTCCGGTTGTTAGCTCTTTTAAAATTTTATTTATGTGAGGGGTAGAATGTAAACTTAATTTGATGGGCAATGTTGCGTTCTCTGTTAGTTATTAAAGCCAACTGGAGGCACCCTTAGAAGAGTAGGAAGCTTGATTGTGCAGCTAAATTATGATTTACCGCTGGAGTCATTCCTTGCTTTTTCCCTTCCTGTTCTTTCCAAACACCATGGTTAACATTCCAGTGACTTTTGGCAGAAGCAAACTGAGATCTGAGATTCCCAGAGGATCCTTTTCATGGCCAGCAAGTTCTCTCAAGCCCCACTGACTACAACTCAACAGCAGGGCTTCCCATCATTCTGAGTCAAAAACACATGAATATTCTAGTGGAAACTATAAAATTGTCTCTAACAACAAGGACCACAAATGCTGTCCAAGTCCGGCAAAAGAATTGTAGCCCTGTTTAGTCCACTCTGCCTCCTCCAATGTGAAGGGAATGAAGTAAAAGAGAAATCTAGGGAGCAATTTTGTTTTTTTGCCTAATCCAAGAAGGCATGCATGTTTGATGGCCCAGGGACTCCAATTAATGCTCATCAGGGCTAGACAGAATAAATAGCCATGGTTAGCTGGAAATGTAACTGAAAATAATTACCTTACTATGAAATCTTTCATCCTCTACTGAATGTTTAGGTCTCTGCTTAGCTGCATGGAGGGGAACCCTGGCGGGGTAGGATGCCACAGAAGAAACTATGCCATGCTCTGTTTATTTTCCCTCTTACTTGCATAAAGTTTGTTGCAAAACTGATGTGAATTTGCTATGAGGATATGTAACAATGTCTGGTTGCAAAGATATTCTATCACACACACTCTCTTGGAAAACTCCTCCTGGCTTATACCAAACGTTAACAACAACACAGGCCAGTTGCACTGCATTTTTTCCTGTTTTTCTGGCTGAATAATCTCACTGCCCATTCATGCTATTTGGTCCTGTCGATTGCAGTCCAGAAAGCAGATACCATTGGGGATTCCACAGTGGCTACCATCAACCATTCACCCTTACAGCTGAAGCGCCTTCAAGAGCTTCTACTCAACGGGAACTCCAGCGACACCACCCTGAGGGTCCACACCGTTGGCTCCGATGAAGTTAAAGTCTTTCACACCCACCAGCTGATGCTCAGCTTACATAGTGAGATCTTTGAGACTCTGTTGCAGAACCAGACAGTGCTTGACTTGCACGAACCACCTGACAATGTGGCCCTTTTCGAAAAGTTCATCAGGTAAATAGGCGCTTGCCTGCTCTCCATACAGAGAGGGAGGGAAATTTCATGCATTTGAAAGTAGTGTGTGAATTGTTTTCATCGACTCCATACAAGGACAGGTGCTAGGTTTCTGAAGGCAGAGTTTGTCTCTCAGATTTCCCTCCCTTGTGGCTACTGAACATGTTGACATGACCTTGAATAAAATGTCAGCAATAAACAGGTTTGAGGACACTACTTGATAAGATATTAAGGGCTTTTCTGCATGGCTCACTAACCATAGTACACAAGTGTCAAACTCGATCACGTCACATGATGTATCATGATGTATCGCAATGTTTTTTGCCTTTGCAGAGCCGAGGTGGGCATGGCCTGCGTGTGACGCATCTGGCCTATGGGCCACCAGTTTGACACCCTTGCCATAGTTCAACTGATCCTCCTGGGCTATTGCGAAACAGCCTACACTCCTCTTGGCTCTTCCAGGGTTTCCCACCTTCCACTTGCTGTTTAAGCCCTTTATAGGGCGCTGTATTGATGTAAGCCTGGGACACAGACCTGTCCTCTTGTTACCTGCTTGAGATTGCTGCTAGCTTTTTCTCTTACAGGTCATTTGTCACCATTTTTCAGTACTGTTCTCTTTTAGGCAGCAGGAAAATTGGGGTTCTTCTGCTGTACCAAAAGGTCATCGTTCCCATTTTTGTGACCAACTCGTATCAGACCTAGCAGCACAACTCTAGATTATTAGGAATTAGAAAAATAGCAAGAGAAGATTTGGGGAGGTGGGGTAGGGAAGCAATTCTCTTCTTTAAGTTTGGGAGTGCAGTCCTGTTGGGAGAAGGGAAGTGAGATAGAAGTGGCTCTTTAGCCATCACAGTAAAAGTGCTCCTGCTCGCTTAAGCAGAGCAAGCAGCGCAATATCCAGCGTGGGGGATGGCTGGATGAATTTTTTAAAAATGCCCAGCAATTGACACATATCCAGATTTGATACTTATAAGAAATGCATACTACTTGTACCTGCGGTGCTGAATCCACTAGGGAATTGTGTAGATAGCTAAAGAGATAAATCTCACCACCTCTTTCATTCCCATTAAAAGGGAAATTTTATTGTAAAATGTAAGCATGATGATTATTTAATTTGGCATGAAAAAAATGGATTCCTATTGTCTTTTTTCTCTAGGTATCTGTATTGTGGTGAGATCTCCGTATTCCTCCATGAAGCCATCCCACTTCATCGTCTAGCCAGTAAATACCACGTGTCCAGTTTGCAGCGAGGGATAGCCGAGTATATGAGGGGCCACTTAGCTAGTGAATCAAGCCAAGGCCATGTGGTGGGATGGTACCATTACGCAGTGGGGATTGGTGATGAGGCTCTGCAGGAGAGCTGTCTCCAGTTTCTGGCCTGGAACTTCTCTGCTGTCATGAGTAGTCCTGAATGGGCCTCTGTAAGCCTAGATTTGCTGCTATTGTTGCTTGAAAGATCTGACCTGGTTCTCCAGAGTGAATTGGAGTTGTACACAGGCGTAGAGAAGTGGATTACCATATATGAGCCTGAGGACCCTGTAGTGGAGAAGATCCTGAGATCCCTGCGTTATCCTATGATCTCCCCTAGCCATCTTTTCCACCTGCAAAAACAGTCTCTGGTGATGGTGAAGCACTACAGCACCGTGCAAGATCTGCTCTTCCAAGCTTTCCAGTTCCATTCAGCTTCCCCAATCCATTTTGCCAAATACTTTGATGTCAATTGCAGTACGTTCCTGCCCCGTAACTACCTCTCCATCTCTTGGGGGTCCCAGTGGGTCATTAATAACCCTGCTCGAGATGACCGTAGTACCAGTTTCCAGACTCAGCTGGGCCCCAGCAACCATGATTCTGCCAAGAGAGTTACATGGAATGTCCTCTTCTCTCCCCGTTGGCTCCCAGTGAGCCTGCGTCCTGTCTATTCTGACTCAGTCTCTGGGGCCATCCAGCCTATCAGAATTGAGGATGGACGCCCCCGTCTGGTTATCACTCCAGCCACAACCAGCTCAGATTTTGCAGGTGTCAGTTTCCAGAAGACCATTCTGGTGGGTGTCAGGCAGCAGGGCAAACTCTTTGTCAAACACACCTATAACTTCCACCAGAGCACAGACGAAGTTGCCGATTTCCTGATATACGCTGACTTACAGAAACGTACCTCCGAATATCTGATCGACAACTCTTTGCATTTGCATATCATTGTCAAACCCGTCTACCACTCACTCATCAAGATCAAAAAATAGAAGGAAGATGGGGGAGAGACAGCTGGAAACATCATGGGGAGAGAACCACTGGTTGCATTGAAGGATAGCAGGGACTCTACCATTCAGTAGAGTATTAAAGTGTCTGATGCAGGCTCTGCATCTTTAAGTCATACTGGCCCTGTTGGAGAAGCTCTGAGAATTCATTGTATAAAATATGCTTCCTTTGAATCGGAGGACTTTCTTTTCTAGAGGCAATTAATCCAGGAGTGGTGTTCTCTCATCTGTCTGTCCACTGCTTAAGGTTTCATCTCCCTTCAGTTTGAAGACACTCAGGTAGAACTGGAGATTCTCATGGTGCTTTGGAATAGGTAATTATCAAAGATGTCCCATAGCAAGACTTTGTCTTCCTTGCCTAATTAGAAGCTGCCTTATGCTCTCCTTGTTTCCCCATGAAGTTTTGTTCCCTTGAGATAATTACAAACGGATATCCTGACTGAAAAACCCCTTTGGAATTAGATTGAAATCGATGTCTGGTTATTCTTCTATCTACCTTCAGATCTCCCTTGCCTCTTCTAGTACTTTAGATGCCAACTGCAGGGATAATTTTGTTATGTGTGAATTAGGATGTAGTTCTCTGAATCAGTGAACATGCTTCTGAAATACGGATTTCTGCTAGTTTTGTATTGGAAGTGTTATTGTTACTTGGTCTAATGTCTCCTTAGACATGGAGATTCTGCAGATTTTTGAAACCATATAAAGTTCTGCAAAAAAGTTTTAAAAAATCCATTGTTTGTCCTATGACTACTGCTATTGTCCATAGCTTTTAAACAGAACCGAATTGAGATTGGACTAGAAGGTGGAAGAGTAACTAAAATATTACAAAACTGGTTGAAAAACAGGCCATTATTTTTTACACCCTGTATAATTGTGTGTATGTGAACTAATAGCCAGACAAGTATCTTTTCAGCCCTGTGCAAATCAGAAATGTCTATCATACCTACTTCCCATAAAAAATCTCTAATGCAGATTGGAGATCCCCATCTCCTAATACCACATATTCCGAATGATCATAAGCAACTACTGCAAAAAATTTACTGGGCACCACATTATGCACTCCTAGTTTAAAAGGTTTAAGATGCCAACTCTTAAATCAACATTTAAAAATGGCAAATGTGGCAAGCTAGTCTTCTCACCATCACTGTTCCTTTGCTGTAATATTCTTTTAATTAGAGTACAAGACAACATGGCTAGATGATGCCTGTGGAGCATTTTTAACATGATAAATAAAAAACAAACCAATCTTTGTAGATATATTATATAGAGATATCTGAATATCTCTTCCAAGGCTTTCACTACTATCCTTACCAAGTGTGAGTCAGTGGTTTATTTCTTGACTGCTGTTTTGCAGTTGACAGTCCTAAAAGGCAGAAGTCACCCACTCTTTCAATGTCTTCCTTGCTGGTTGCTGTATTTGTTGTCATTTGTTTGGTGTTTTTTATATTTAATCATTCTTTCACTATGCTCCTTGGCTTTCATTACTAGGGGTCCCAGATCCTTTGCATTGTCCACCAGCACTATACCTGAATTACAAAATCACGCTCACCTTCTTCAATCCAGCCTCTCCTGATATATATTCAATATGCAAATTGACTAAATAAGGAAAAGGTACACAGATTTGTCTGTGTCAGTTTTTAAGTCAGTCTTTTGCTATGTTCCATCCGGACTGTGGCTTCCTGTCCTATATACAAGTTTTACATGAGATGTTCTGGGATTCTTATTTTTATAAGGACATCCCACAGCTTTGTGGGGTCAGCATCAGGTGTATTGCAAGAAGGGAGCCCTTGCAACAAAAACTACAGGAGACTGGAACGATTCTGGAAATACTCTGGTGCTGCTATTACATATTGTTCGTTGTCCCACTATATTTACAGACAGAGATACAAAAGGCAACATTTGGGATTCCATCACAAACATATTTTTTTTCCGCAACTACTTGCTGAAAAAAGCAGTAGTGAATTGTTTTGGAAAGAGACTGTCGCATCCAGCCTAGTTAATAGGATCATCTAAAAGTCCGTGTAACCCCAAAGGTAAGTATAACCCAATCATGAAATTAAGGATGGTGCTTGAGTGACAACAGCCCCCCTTAGTAGAGAATCATGGCCTTAGGCAGACATAGCATGGCTTCAAATGTTGTCCACAAACCTTTTCCCCTGAAAGCCGTTGTAAAAAGGTGCTAGTTAAATATATTGAAATTATTTGTCTTAGAACGATGCAAAAGTACAGCAAATGCACACAGCATATCATCTTATTGCCAAGTTACACCAATGCTGTGGCACTGTATCCTCCTCTAACACATAGTTTAAAAACTAAAAAAGTTGTGCTTGCACAATAACGAAACTTCCACGTCTATGTTGGTATTACAGCACTGGATTTATCTAGTGACAGCCTTCCATGTACCCATCCAGACAACTACTCATTTCAATTTGGAGAAATGTAGTCCTGGAGATTAAAAGTTTTTGTGGCTAGAAAATCCTCTTGGCAGCAGCACTGCAACCCACCAGGCAAGCTTTTAAACCTTCTGTTCAAGTTAGCAATTCCCTTCTAATGCCTTTAGCCACAGTGTCCTGACTGGCCATCGGATGCACTTCCCTGAAGCATCTCAACTTCCTTGTGCCCCTCCAGAGTTTAACATCGCCGGTTCTTCCCATCTTTGCCAGGAGGGTTTGTCCCATTCACCGTGACATAGTTCAAGCGTGGCGCGTACTGACTGGGCTGGCTTATTTTCTTGGTGATGCCACTTTGATGGGAAGCAACAGAAAGAGAGGATGCCTCACTGGGACCTGAAGGAATAAAACCACAAATGAAAAAGAGGACAATCATCAGGGTTTGAACTTGGCTACAGCACAAGCCAGGGAATAACTACATAGCCTCTTAACAGTTATCATTTTTAAGGCTGACCTTTAGTACAGCTGGGTCATCCCAAAACATCTTTTTTCTTTTCTTTTCTTTTCTTTTCTTTTCTTTTCTTTTCTTTTCTTTTCTTTTCCTTCCTTCCTTCCTTCCTTCCTTCCTTCCTTCCTTCCTTCCTTCCTTCCTTCCTTCCTTCCTTCCTTCCTTCCTTCCTTCCTTCCTTCCTCTTTCTCATTCAAGTCACTTCTGACAACTTCCTGGACTAGTCCTTGCATTATTTTTGCCAATGTTTTCATCAGTGCTTTGCTATTATCTGATATTGAAAAAGAGAGCAACTGGCCCAAAGTCACCCATCTGGCTTAGTACCTAAAGCAGAACTATAACTCATGGTCTCTCAGTTTCTAGTATTGACCACTACACCACTACAGCTGGCTTTCAGCCTTCAAATGCAAAGTGGTAATGATTCCAGACATATTGCTCTAAAGTAAAAGAGGTAGATTTAGTATGCGCAACTGCAGGACAGACAACTTCTGTAAGGTGGTGGCACTCAAATTCTCTGCTGCAATCAACAAGAGACTTTGCTACCCTGAGGAGCATGAACAGAAAACTGTGATTTGGCTGATGCTCTCACATACCCGAGGAAGGTTGGACTTGTAGAAGCCTCACTCTGGACAACTGCATGGCAGTTTTCCCAATGCCACGGATATTGTTCATTCCTCCTGCCGCTACTATCTTGTGTTCAGAACTGCTTTCTAGGGGATGTCGTCGAGAGGCATTGTTCTTTGGGTCCTGCAGCTGCCGAGGGCAAGAGATGAACACACAGGTTCAGAGGGATAAGGAAATTCTTTTATCCCACCAGGAATAATTAAAGCACACATTAGACGCCATAAACCAAGAAAAACACACTGAGTTTCTTCTAAGCAGTTTGCTTTATTGTTGCTCACCCACAGACAGAAATCTTGCCAAACTAAAACAGACTATTTGCACTATTATATATATATATGCTGAGAATTCCTAGGGAGGAACTGTCTTAACACTCTTCCTCCCCCCAACCAAACTATCTAAACTTTGCTATCTCTTGTTCCTCTGGAATGCAACTTCTCCCACCTGGGACACTGGACTCCATCACACACCTGCAAGGAAGATTTGAGTGGGAGGATTTAGTGCCAGCCTGGAACAGAGACAAGTTATCTGCTGGAGACTGTGCCAGTCATGTGGTCTGAAAGATCAGAAAGTTTTCTGATTTGGTAAATAAAGGAAAAAATGGTCTGATTTTTCTTGCGCAGAAGGCATTCCTGACCTGCTTCCTCCAGATGTGCATGACTCCCACTTCCATAGCCCTATCCAGTTAATTTTACCAAGGACCGTGAGAGAAATATATTAAAAATTCTGGTAGGAGCCAGTTCAGAAGAAGTTATTCTATCGGTCCTGTGCTTCTGATTTTGCATCACTGTGCTTTCAGCAGCATTCACGCTTGCCGTTTATAGTTCCTAAAGTTCCATATGCTGATCTCAGGAGAACTACAGCCAAGGAAGGGGCAACAACTCAGTGCAGTAATAATTTCACTAATGTAGTTTCTGGAATCTCAGAATTGGGGGGAGGGGGGGAAACCTGACACGAGCCTTTGCAAGCCTGCCTTAAGGAGAAAACAGAGGAAGCCTATTACCCCTTAGGACATTTAATCAAGAGTTTAATTAGGAGAAATAATTAGCTTAGGGCACTGGATAGCATCACTGTAGTGGGACAAGGGTTCACTCAAAAGCTCCCTAATTGGACCTTGAAGATGGCAGCAGTACATCAGTACTGGGGTTCTGACGGTGATCTTGCAGCCTGCTAGTAAATTCCTACTTATGCCTGATTATAGCAGAAGCAACCTGATGGGAGTTGGCCTTGGTCCTCAGCTATTGAAGAAAAACCACCAGGATACCATCACTGTCTGTTCTGCTGCGAATCTTAAGCTTAGCTAGTCACAGTGTTGGGATAGGGGAGACGTACCCTCTGGCCCATAACCTCGAAGGAGCGCGACCGCTGTCTCCTCCTCTTGGCCTCTAGAGATTCTTCCCTCTTCTCAAGTTTCTTGCTTCCCTTTTTGTTAACCTGGAGCCAGGGACCAAGGGAGCGCCTGGGGACATGTCTCCCAGGAGCAGTATCCCCAGTACTGCTTGACAGATTGTCCTCGCTGATGGCGTGCTGCAGGCTGGGACTGGCTGGCTGGCAGAGGGCGGGGGTTTCCCGGCAGAGGGCGTCCTCGCTTTCACTCAGAGAGTGGAGGGAGAGGTTGCTGAGCTCCTTGGTTGGCTTCAGCAGGCTCAGCCTGTCGGATTCCAGCACCCGAGAACGACGCCGGGCAGCCTTCACCGCAATGTTTTTGATGCCACTCGCCATCTCCTTGTGCTCTGCCAGGGGAGGAAGCATGTAGCAAAATTAAAGCTTTTTCCTGGGTGGCTTTTGCCAGAGTGCCAACAGCCTGGCAGGGAAAAGCCAGAAAGCAGCTTTTAGTCTGTTCAAAGTGGGAGGGGTCCCTCATTTTTCTGGTCTAATGGGTAATTGGGGAAGAATGAGGAGGCAATAAGACTTTCTAGCGAGTCAATAAAATAAGCCTCAGCTGCAGACTATTAGCAACCTAACTACTCATGGAGCTCCGTGAGGAAACACAGAACCTCTAAGTATTTAATTATGGGATTTGCATCCTGCCTTTATTCTGTACAACTCAAGGCAGCATAACTAATGCTCCCGCCTATTTTTCCCACAACCCCCACTTTATTGTGGTGGGTTGAGCTGAGAGAGAGAGTGATTGGCCCAAAGTCATCCAGCTGGCCTTCAGATCTGAGGGAGGACTAAAACTCACAATCCCCTGTTTCCTAGTCCAGCCCTTTAACCACAACATCAATCTGGCTCTCAATCAATGTCTAGCAAACGCCCGTATCTCACCTCCGTGCATCAAGATGCTGTCAGAACAGTGATCACTGCTGTCAGGGGAAGAATTTTGGTGGCTACCCAGGATAAGCAAACTCTCTTGGGGTGTGTACTGTGAAGAAGAAAAGCGGCAGGCCATGTTAAATTGTATAGCGAGCTTTCACCGAATGTTACAGCTCCTCCCCTAGTGTAGCGGTGAGATCGTGTCCGAATAAAACTATCTTACACATGTTAAGCCCTCTCTTCTCTACTTGTCATACCTCTTGACTGATCATGCCATTGACGTGGATAGGAGGTGGAGTCATCACTGCTGAATGCTTCATCTGCCGAGCCCGAGGACTCGCCTTGAACACCTGAACTGCTTCACTGTTGAGAAAAGAAAGATCAGCGTCTGCTGATTCCAGCACAGCACTAGACAAACATGGCTCCAAACTCCCCTTTTTCTGGGCTGCTAAGTCTCCATTGCAACTAAGTCTCCATTTAACTGGCAAGATGGCCAAAATCAAGGTCATGCTGTTTTTAAATGGAAAACATACACCACAACTGTATAAGTTCTAACAAGGCTTGAAAGAAAGGGGGGAAAAAAACTCCTAAAAGAGTTTCTCCTAAAAGAAAATTCCTGTCCTATCCTGCGATGCAGTCCTATCCACTGGAGATCCCGGTCTGAATTAGATCTGATGAATATCCTGATTGTGACTTGGCTTCTTTTCTTTTCTTTTTTGTTTTAAACCCATTCTCCCGACCTTCCAACAATAGGAAGCTGGTCTTCGTGATAAGCCGTTTCAAGAGAAGTAGGGATGCAGATGGGGTGGGGTATGAATTGAAAAATAAGGAAGAAAATGTTCGAGACAAAGAGAGCAGGGAGGCCGAGAGCAGTGGTGGAGAGAAATGTGAAAGAGAAAGACAAGGCATCTAAAAAAAAGAAAGACAAAAGGGCGTGAAGAATATCTATTGTGAGCAGTGAAGGCCTATGGAAATTTGCACTGGTTCTCTTAATTGGGTCTTGGGCTTTGGGTCCTTTCACTCCAGAGCTGACTATCCAGACTTTTCAAAGGCCTTCTTTTCATACAGTTAGTCCTCAACTTATATAACAATTCATTTAGTGACTGTTCCAAGTTACAACAGCACTGATAAAAATGACTTATGAGCGTTTTACACACTTATGACCGTTGCAGCATCCCCACGTTCATGTGTTCAAGATTCAGATGCTTGGCAACTGGCCTGTATTTGTGAAGGGTACTGTGTCCCAGGGTCATGTGATCACCTTTTGCGAACTTCTGACAAGCAAAGTCAATGAGGAAGCAAGACCCATTGAACAACCGTGTTACTAACTTAACTACTGCAGGATTGACTTAACAACTGTGGCCAGAAAGGTCATAAAATGGAGCAAAACTCATGTAACCATAGAAATTTTGGGTTCAATTATGGCCATACGTCAAGGACTAGCTATATATTTTGGTGGGTGATGCAAATTGGAATAACAACAACAACAACAATAATAACCAAAGAGAGAAGCAGCCTAGAACTAAGGAGAAACTTCTTGACAGTTAGAACAATTAACCTTTGGAACAACCTGCCTCCAGAAGCTGTGAATGCCTCAACACTGGAAATTTTTAAGAAGAGACTGGACAACCATTTGTCCAAAATGATATAGAGTTTCCTGCCTGAGTAGGGGATTGGACTAGAAGACCTCCAAGGTCCCTTCCAACTTTATTGTTGTTATTATGTGGCCTTACTAAAGTGTTGTAAAGTGGTATTAACAGTTCACATGATCTTGATTCTATCCCTCTGTTAATGCAGCCCACCACTGAGTTG